ACCAGGTCGATCCCCCACTTGGCAAACGGATAAGGGCTGCAGAGTGTGATTAACTCTGTAGGAGGGGTGTGAGGGATGTTGGCGAAGCGTTGACATTTATCGCATTTGAGCACGAAGTCGGTCGCATCCTGATTGAGAGTTGGCCAAAAGTACCTAGTACGGAGTATCTTCTGGGCAAGGGACCTGCCTCCTGAGTGATTACCACAAATCCCCTCATGGATCTCCTGCATTACGTAAGTTGCTTGCGCTGGATTGAGGCACCGTAGATATGGCCGGGAGAAGCCGCGTTTGTACAATATATCGTCGACAATGACGTAATTGGACGCTCGGGATCGGACTTTGGAAGCCTGCTGCTGGTCATCTGGGAGTGCTCCTGTGGTCAAGAATAGGAGGATGTCGGATGCCCAAGGGATAAGTTCATTTTGAATGTATTGTATAGCTTGTAGATTGGGTGAAACGGCCGGGTGGTGTAGATATTCCACGCGAACATCATGGCTGAGAGTAGGATGGTCAGCAGAAGCCAACTGAGCCATCTCGTCTGCTTTAGAGTTTTCTGCCCGAGGAATATGCCTGATGTGGAAGGTATTGAAGAGGCGAACGAGGGGGAGTGCCAGGTCTCTGTAAGCTCGCATCGTTTCGTCCTTGGCATCAAAGTCCCCCGTCATCTGACCGACGACGAGTTGGGAGTCGCTGAAAACTCGGAGGTGGCTGACCCCTATGTCCTTGGCGAGGTGGAGTCCTGCTATTAACGCCTCGTACTCGGCTTCATTGTTGCTTGCTTCAAACAAGAAACAGAGGGCACATTTGAAGTAGCCGCCCTCAGGAGAGGTGAAGATGAGGCCGGCGCCGCTTCCTTCTCTTCGGGACGACCCGTCGACATTAAGAGTCCAAGAATGAGGGTCTTCTGGCTCTGTTGGGGTTGGTAGGGGCGGAGGTGTTGCGGTCGGGGTCGGCTTGGTGAACTCCATGATGAAGTCTGCTACAGCCTGTCCCTTAATTGCAGTCCGAGGGCGGTAAGAGATGTCAAATTGGCTGAGTTCTACGGACCACTGCATCAGTCTACCTGAGAGTTCTGGTTGCTGCATGACTTTCTTTAGGGGCTGGTCGGTGAGGACCACTATGGAGTGGGCTTGGAAGTATGGGCGGAGTCGTCTAGAGGCAATCACCAAAGCCAGGGACAGTTTTTCCAGCAAGGGGTAGTTCTGCTCGGCGCCCCTGAGAGCTCGGCTAATGTAATAGACCGGTCGTTGGATTGATCCATCTTCTCTGAGGAGAGCTGCGCTGACTGCGGTTCCCGATACTGCTAGGTAGAGGAAGAGGGGTTCGCCCGTGATAGCTTGGGAGAGAAGGGGGGGTTGGCCATGCATTGCTTTAACTGTTGGAAGGCCTCTTCGGACTCAGTTGTCCATTCAAAAGTCTGCCGAAGAACTTTGAAAAAGGGCAAGCACTTATCTGTCGCACGGGAGATGAAGCGGTTGAGGGCCGCCACTCGGCCGGTGAGTCTCTGAACCTTTTTGACCGTCCTGGGCGACTGCATCTCAACCAAGGCCTTGATCTTCTCAGGGTTAGCTTCGATGCCGCGCTGGCTGACCATAAAGCCCAAAAATTTGCCAGACCCTACGCCAAAGGCGCACTTTTTTGGGTTGAGTTTCATCTGGTACTTGCGCAAGGTGGCGAAGGTCTCGCGTAAATCAGTGAGGTGATCGGAGGAGTATTTGCTTTTGACTAGCATGTCGTCGACGTAGACTTCCATATTCCGGCCTATTTGGTGATGAAAAACGGTGTTAACCAGTCGCTGATAAGTGGCCCCAGCATTCTTCAATCCGAACGGCATTACACAGTAGTGGTAGGTACCTCGGTCGGTAATAAATGATGTGTGCTCCTGGTCAGATGTGTGCATCAGGATTTGGTTGTACCCGGAGAAGGCATCCATGAAGCTGAGCGTTTGATGACCGGCTGTGGCGTCGACCAGCAGATCTATGTGAGGAAGGGGCTAGCTGTCTTTGGGACAAGCTCGGTTCAGGTCAGAGTAGTCGACACAGAGCCGCCATTTGCCATTGTGTTTGCGGACGAGGACCACATTGGACAACCACCTAGGATAGTCCACATTTTTGATGAATTGGGCCTCGAGGAGTTTGTCGACTTCGGCGGCTATAAGGGTGTTGCGCTCCGGATGGAAAATGCGTTGCTTCTGGCGGTGGGGTCGAAAATGGGGTTCGATGTTGAGGCGATGGGTTATGAAGGAGGGGTCGATGCCTGGCATGTCAGAATGGGTCCAGGCGAATACATCTCTGTGCTCGGTTAAGAGAGTAGTAAGGTCGGCCTTGGCCTGGGCGGGTAATTGACTGCCGATCTTGGCGGTTCTGACCGGGTTGGTGGGGTCGATATTGACTTCAACAAGTTCCTCTACAGGTTCACCTCTGACCAGCTCGTCCTCGTCTCGGACGTCAAGCCCTTCGATGATCATAGCCTCTTTTAGCTTGACTTCCTTGAGTGAGGCGACATAACACTCCCTGGCCACGATTTGTTCTCCTCTAACAGTTCCGATGCCGAGGTCGGTGGGGAATTTCATGGCCAGATGATATGTGGATGTGATGGCTTGGAAGGCATTTAGGGCTGTGCAGCCGAGGATAATGTTGTAAGCGGAGGGGCAGTCGACCACAAGGAAGGTGAGCAACTTCCTGGTCTGCCGCGGGTGCTCGCCGATGGTAATAGGCAGATCGACGGAGCCAATGGAGGTCACTCGGTCGCCGGTGAAGCCGACCAGAGGGGTTTGGAGAGGGGACAAGCTCTCCTCCCCGATCTTGAGTTGGCGGAAGCAATTGAGGAAGATGATGTCTGAAGAGCTGCCGTTGTCTATGAGGACTCGTCTGACTTTGTAGTTGGAGAGGATGGCGGAAATGACAAGGGGGTCATCATGTGGGTAACGGACTCCTGCACAGTCGGTGTCAGTGAAGGTGATGGGTTCGATCCATTGTTTTGACTGTTTGGGAGGTCGGTCCACCGTCGCCACGATTTTGTCTGAGCCGTGCCTGATTTTTCTGAGTTCTGCCCTCTAAGCCGAGCGGGATGGCCCCCCCGCAAGCAAGGCCCCCTGAAATGACTCTGATTTCTCCGACTGGTGGAGGGGGATTGCCCGGAGGCTGAGGCTGTGGTGGCGGGCGATCGTGGCCTTCGTTTGGTAAGGCTTGATTGCGGGGTGGTGTGTGTCGGTGATTGTTCCTGGGAAGGTCGGTTCTTTGCCTCTGCGGGGGGCGGGGGTCAGTGAATCGGCTGAGGCGGCCCTGGCGTATGAAGGTCTCGATCTGGTCTTTGAGGTTAATGCACTCATCGGTGGTATGGCCATGGTCTTGGTAGAAGCGGCAGTATTTGGACTGATCTTTCCGGGCGGAAGGGTTTCGGGACGGTAGGGGCCACTTGAGGGGGTAGTCCCGCTGGATTTGATTGAGGACGTGCTCCATGGGGGAGTTTAGAGGTGTGTACCGCTCAAACCGACCGGGCGGTCGGGTCGGAGTCGACCGGTCAGTTCGGGGGGGTCGGTCATTATAGTGGGGTGTTTGGCTACTATACTGGGTGGTTCTGGGCTCGGAGTCTTTCCTCTTTTCTCTGGGGGTCGGATTTTTAGGGGTCGGCTCTTGCCGAGCGGCCAGGGAATCCTCAGCATTCATGTATTTCTGGGCTTTGGATAGTAGAGCTGCCATGGTGGTTGGAGGGTTTTTGGAGAGGGAGAAAAGGAAATCAGACGACCGCAGGCCGGCCATGAAGGCGGTGAGGATGACCTTGTCGTCGTTCTCCGCTACTTGAAGGGCTTCGATGTTGAAGCGGGTGACAAAGCTGCGGAGTGACTCCCCCTCGGTCTGACGAATGTTAAGGAGCTGGGTGGCTGGGCGCCTCTGACGCTGAGCTCCAATAAAATGGCTCAGGAAGGAGTCACTGAGGTGTTGAAAGGTGGAGACGGAGTCTGCCGGTAGCTGGCTAAACCATAGCCGAGCTGATCCCTTCAGTGTGACTGGAAAAGCTCGGCACATGATCTCGTCAGGGAAGGCATGGAGGATCATGAGGGTGCGGTAGGTTTCCAGATGGTCGACTGGATCCGTCGTGCCATCGAAGGAGCCAACGGTAGGCATCTTGAACTTGGCAGGCAATGGTTTGTCGCGGATGGAGGCAACGAAAGGCGAGTTGGTGGTGACTGAGGGCTTGTGTTGAATGTTCTGCATGACTCCTTGTAGTTGGAGTTTCATAGCTCGGATTTCAGCGTCCCAGAGGGGAATGTTGTCGCCATGGTCGGTCAATGGAGGCTGGACACTGCTAGCTTCCCCCTCAGGAGCCAGTGCTGCGACTGGCGGGCGTGGAGGTGGGGGTGGTAGGTTTTCATGTTGGGGAGGAAGGAGCTGCGAACCTTCTGGGTTAGGCGGAGGGGGTTGTGGAGCAGTATGGCCTGGGGTTGTTCCTTGGTTGGGTGGAATGTTTGGAGGTGGAACGGGGGGGTTTCTTTGGAGTAACGCATTGATCAGGAGGTGCCTGGTTTTGCTCGGCCATCGGTTAATGCTGTTGGTGAGCTCGATGATGTATTGTGGTGGGTTGGTTGGGTGGGAAGGATCTGTTTGGTGATCGTGGGCATTGTGGTGGAGAAGCCATGAACCTAGTCGTGACCATACACCTGGACGGGCAAGAGGGAAAGGTGATGGTGAGAAAGGGGGGCTCCGGCGGTAGTGAACACAACTAGCGCACGGATAACCACTAAGGTTCCCACAGACGGCGCCAACTGATAAGTTTCTTCTTCCCGGGTGGATGGGTCGGCTTGGTCCAGGCTCTTCAGGTTCTGTTTCGGGGTGATGGTTCCCGTCAAATGACCTGCATACAAGCCCAAGGGGAACGGGGCAATCCCCCAGTGACCTCCAGTGTGAGAATTAATAAAGGATGGAGTAGTGAATGTAGAGAGAGGAATCGAGAGAGAGATAACTTAAACCTGTTCTTGTCTTTCTATCTTTGCTTATATCTTTGGTCATCATTTCCCTGTCTTTGTGACGTGCTTCCTTTCGCCGAAAGCCTGTGCCGTAGCTTACCTTGTTCAGGGTGATGGGGCTTTGTTCCAACGGGGGGTGTTGTCGTAAAATGGCTGTGATGGGCTGGCATTAATGGTGATGTGTTGTGATTAATAACTCTGCAGATCTTTGTCTGCTGATGGACCCGTGTCCCACCTGCCATAGCCCAAACGCCATTGGCCCTCCATGTCTAGATGGCCCCAGCTGTCCTGGGCTTTGCCAACCGGGTTGTGCCATTGGTCCCAAGCGATGGGTTTGGGGTGGTTTACTGTGGGCCGTATACTTCGTGGGCCTATCCGTGTCAATTGCTAATGCCATAGTCAAAACCATTGAGGTTGCAGATGAGAGCAATTAGAAATGTTACAAGAAAATTGGGGTCATTTAGCCTTAAAATTTTGGGATCATGAAAGAAGTATTGTGGAAATTTAGACAGATTTAGAATAATAGTAGATAGTATATACAGATTATAAGTGATATAATATATATAAAAATTTAATTAATATATTTAGCTACAAGATTAATATATATATGTGTTTAGAGTTGGTAGCATGGAAGAACGAAGACAGAAAATAGGTGTGTATATACATTTGCAGGTTTTAATTTAAAAGAGATAAGAGGAAGAAGATGGGGAAATAAAGGTAAATTTATACATTCTGTTACAGAAGCTAACTGTGTGTTTTAGTTTACAAACCAACATCGGGTTATGTGGTAATTTTCCAAATGTCATGAGGTAATCTATACCTAATCCAAACCACAGGGGTAATGTGAAATTTCCCTCCAAAAAAATCAAACTTATATGAAATCGAGTTTTATCAATGATTTTTTTTATGCATTTAAATGTTAAAATAAAGATTAGAGGTCAAATTATTTCATCAGAATTTTGGGATATGTTATTTTCAAAAAAAAAAATTAACACAAATTTTAATTCTCACCATTAGAATGAATTAATATATTTTTGGTAAAAAAATAAAAATAAAAATTGAAAGGCTGAAGATGCTCTGACTTATGTTTTAGGGCATTGTCATTGTCATGAACTAGTGGACCCTTCCTAATAATAGAAGGGAAAATATCACATCAGCGGGTGTTGCAAAAGTAATTACAAATTAATGAAATTTATTATAAATATAATAATTAAATTTATAATTTTTTTTATGAATTTATATATATATATATTTTCTGACATTGTAATAACCCCATAATAGAATGTTAGCAAATCATTGTTGAATAGGTTTTGCATCGTACTACTTCATATCTGGAATGACTTGATTATGTAGGTTTACTAACCGCCGTTGACTTGTGATTTAATTTCAAATGTTACTTAC